GCCGCGCTGACAGGAGCCCCTTCCAGAACGGGGTGGTGTCCCTCATCGACTGCACCCTGCTGGAGGACCCCGACAGCACCGAGGACGAAGGTAGGTCTGCCGCCGGCTGCGCAGGTGCCCCTCTCCGGCCTGCGCCTGCCCTGGGCGGCCGCGTGGCGGCGGGAGCTCCTCCATCTGTCCGCCGGCTCACTCGTGCACCCGCCGTGCCCCGAGAAGAGAGCGAGCGCGGGGTGCTGGGTCCCGCAGACAGCCAAGTGGAGGCCGCAGTCTTGGAGTGGGCCGCGCGCGGGCGGGTGGCTGCGAGCCCCGGGGACCGGCGGCCGCCCCCGCGGTCCCTGGCCTGCTGCGCTCCTGCGGAGCTGTGGGCGCCCGCGCCGACTGGAGCCCCAAGGCCACGCTGCCCCGCGGGGGCGCCTGAAGGAGCGGGCGCTGGCGGCGAGCCCCTCCTGCAGCTCTCAGGCCGCCGCCCCTCCTAGCCTGAGCTGGTCCTCCCCGCCGCCAGCCTCCCGCTCTTCCCGGTCACCAGCCCCGTGCTCCCCGTGCTCCCCCGTGGCCCCCGACTCCCCTTAGCCGTCTCCACGCCCCCTTGACCTCCAGTTCCTGGCTGTGCTGCCCCATGCTATTCCTCCGTACCCGGTACCCCGTTCCCGGGCGGGCCCCTCGCCGCCCGCCCTCCCCTCCCCTGCCCCCTGGGAGCCGTAACCTGACGCCCTGACAGTTGGCAGCTGCAGCCTCCAGCCTCGCCAAGAGCGACAGGTGTTGCCGCCTTTGTCTTCCGCGCTTTGTCCAGCGCAGCCGCCCGCCCGCCTGTGCTCACAGACCAGCCACCCCCTCGGCGGCTGCCCATCTGCCGCCCAGCCTGGCGAGGGTGGGCTGTGGCGGCCCAGCGGCGCCCCGATAGGCCTGGCCACTTGGGCCTGGCCCCCGCAGGGAGCCTTCCCACGCCCTCCCTCCCTCCCTGGGGGCACCTGCCCTACAGGGCTGCGACGCCCCCGCCTGCCCCCACCCCTGGTCTGGATGCCCAGGCCTGGGCTAGGAGCACTCTGGTCTAGGCACACCCTGGCCTGTGCACCTGGGTGGCCAGGGCCAGGGCCTGGGAGCCCACTTTGCTGCAGCCCTGCCGCCGCTTCACCTCAGGCTCCTCAGCAGGGGCGCGGTACAGGCCAGGCAAGGCGGGGCTCCCCAGTCAGCGCAGGCCTCTGCCCTGACCTGAGGGCCCCTTGCTGACTCCCCGCTGCCTCCCTCCTGCTTTGACGCCGAGCACCCCGAGGCCTCCCCAGCCCAGCCTCGGCCTCCTGGCGTGAACCTCCCTTTATGGCCCCCTTGGCCTCAGTCCCCTCAGCTCACCGCCCTCCTCCCTCCTCCCAGCAGAGGCAGGGGCCTGCTGGTGAACCCCAAGACAGCCCGCACTTGGCCTCCGGGGCTCCGACTGCACTGTGACCCATGGCGTAGTTCCAGCAAGGGACGTCCAGGGGGTTAAATACCCCTGTGTTGGGCAGGGTGACGGGGCTCTGACAGAGTGGGGGCAGAGGAAGATGTGATGGAGGCAGACGGGGGCGCGGGCCACCCCAGGGAAAGGGGCTGCCGGCGGCCCAGCGCCTGCCGGCCCGGCACAGGGGCTCGGTGCAACTGGGCTGGGCCGGGCCGCGGCACTCGGCGGCTCCAGGAGGCCAGGCCGGCCTCATGACGGGTCTGGATGGGACGAGGTGGACACAGAACCTAAAGGTCAGGCACTGAGGGAGGAGGCTGAGCAGGCGTCCCCGCAACCGCGGGCGGAGGGGGAGGGCCGTCCGGGGCGCGAGGGGTGCCGGGGCCTGAGCGGGGCCTCTGACAGCACCGCCTCTGGACAGGAAGCGCGGGACGGAGCAAGGACCGTGGTCAGCAAAAGCTTGGCGGGCTGGGGGTCACCCGAGTGCTGTCTTGGGCGGTCTCGGCTGCCCTAGCTGGCCTGTGGGCTGCCCTGGCCTCTCCCCCCACGCGGCTACTCTCTGCCTCACGGCCAACAAACCCACCATCGCTCCTGGGCTCAGGGGTCCTCTTGCTGCCGTTTGTCCCTCGGCCCAGCGCCCCCTGAAGGGGAGCTCAACAGACTCCTGGGCAGGCCCCTGCGGGACCAGTGGGCTGGGCGAGGGGCAGCTGCGATGGCCAGGCCTCTCGTGGGCAGTCAGCCCAAGGGCTCGGAGAGGCTTTTTTTGATTTGAAAATGGGGATGGGTAGGGCGGTTTGGGGTTAGGCAGTCGATAAAGATGCTGTGAAGACCCCTCCCCAGGAAGGCGATGCCTTCTGCTCCCCTCCCCCAATGCGGCTTGGACTTCGTGGCCAGGCCCGCCAGGGGCCGGGACCCAAGCTCCTTCTCGGGGGGTTTTCCAGGGGCTGGCCCTGGGCCCGGGCCCTTCACCTCCCTGCTCGGACCCTTCCAGCCTGAAGAGCCAGAGAGCAGCCTCCACGCGGGCCCTGGCAGGAGGCTCGAGGGGGGGGTCTGCTGGCCCCCACCCCACCTTCTGCAGAGCCGCCGCACAGACAGCCAGCCCCGGCAGGGCAGTGTGGGCGAGGAACGTCTGAGGTCCCCAAGAAATGGAGAGGAGCCCCGCTTCCTAGCCTCAAGTGAGACTGCAGAACTGGACTGGAGGCTGGATGCACAGTGGACAGTTGCTGGGCTGGTGGTGGCTAAGAGCCGTGGAGCAGGAAGGACCGGGGACGCCCACCGGGATAGGGTGAGGCGGCCTCCATGCGAACAGCCCTTGGCTTCGGGAAGACCCTCGGGTCAGCTGTGACCTTGCTCCCGTTTTCCTCCACCACAGTAAAGACACCTGCAATCAGCAAGGTGCTCGCTTTGCCGCTCCACCTGCTGCCAGGCCCAGATGTCACGGAGACACGAGCTGTCAAACAGAGATGTGTAGCGGGTGGAGAAAGCTCTCCAGGCCTGTGCCTGGAGCAGGGCATCCCGCAGGTGGCTGGTGCTCTGGCCAGGAGCATGGGGGCAGGGGGCGCCCCACAGGGGCCTCCGCTTGGAGCCAAGTGGAGCCGAGGCTTCACCCCACGCTGTGCAGGCAGGCGCCAGGCGACTTCCGAGCAGACGCAGCAGGCACTGGCAGGACCCCTCAGGGCTCACAGACACCGGGAGGTGCAGCCTGCCTGCAGGGGCCACAGGACAGTGACCCTTGACCGTCGCCCATGTGACCGCAGAGGCAGGAAGCCTGAGGACTCCTGCGGCGCCCACAGAGCCAGCCCCTCGCGAATCCGGGGCGCCTGCGTCCCTGCCTCCTGGAGCACCAGGTCTGGAGGGCGCTGAGCGGCTGGGCAGCACCCAGCACCAGCACGCCTGTGGGATCTGGGAGTGACGGTCAGGCGTTAATGCTTTTCTTTTCTTTTTTTACAGATTTATTTATTTATTTGTGCATACAGGCCAGAGGTGCAGGGACGGTGAGAGGCTTCACCACACACAGAGCAGGGAGCAGAACAGGCACACTGCTGAGGGGAGCAGCGGGGAGGCAGGAGAGGTCTTCCACGCCCTGGGGGTCACCTCCGGAGCAGGGATCGAGCTCACGCTGAAGTGGCTTTAGCTTCTTACTGCTGCGCTCTGACCCGATGCGCCCCAGGGAGGCCTGTTGCTGCTTTTCTTAGGAAAGCCGACCGGTCTGGCGGGGGGTCTCTGTGATGGGACATGGGCTCCCTGTTGTCCCGCGCTGGACCCAGTTTCTGTCAGTGCTCCTTGGTGGTGACTTCCATCCAGGGCCCCAACGAGGGTCTCCAAATGTTCGCTGGGGTCCTAGATGCCGCGCGGGGTCCTACGGGACGCTGGGCTGGCCTCCCTCCTCCTGAGGTGTCCGGGGCTCCATGGTGCCCGTGATGCTGGGGGCGATGCTGCTGCTGGCGCCGGGGCGCAGCCCGGATGGCCAGAAACCCCCTCGCTTCTCCCACACATAGGGAGAAGGTGCCACCTGGCCGGTGTCCATAAGACCCCGTCACAAAGGGGCGCCAGGCGCCCGAGCCAAGCAGAGCAGGCACGGTCACCGTGTGACCCGCACATGGTCACTGGCACGGCGGCCACGCGGCTGGTCAAGGATCCTGGGTTGCTGGGTGGAACCCATGGCCTCAGCCCCGCCCAGGAAGCGCCTCCAAAGGGCCAGAGAGGCTGTTTTCAAAGTATCCAGTTAGCGCACAAGAAGACGGAGAGGAAATGGCCCCCAGAGGACAGGGGTTAACCGGGTCCAAACAGGCCGGAGCCCAGGGCACGTCCTGGCGCAGGCTGCGGCCACTGCGGCTGGGCCGGGTGCGGGGCTCGCGGGCCTCTGAGCGCCGGGCCCGGCCCAGGCCCCCACACTTCCGAGGGGCACGTCCTTCTCGAGTCACCTAACTGGAAATCTCTCCCCCTGCCCCCCCAAACTCCACAGCTGTGGTTCAGATATAAAAGTATGTTTCTCCCAGACCTTTCCTACCCTCTACGTTTAAATCACAGACAGTGGGTCTGTCCTGCTAGGAGTGACGGGCCGCACCCCTGGGACCCTCTCTGTTAGGCTCTGTGTAGCTCTACTCTGCTCTTTTGGGGGGGCCTTGCTTCGCCAGGCCCTGGGGCAGAAGTCTGTTCCTCCCCTGGCACACAAGTATCACCTTTCCCATGGTGTTCGGGGAAAACACATTCTTTAAATGGGAGCGGTCGCCCGTCAGGGCGGCTCAGACATTGCTGCTTCAAGCAAGCAGCCCGGCCGCAGGGGCAGGCTGCTGACCCAGGGCCTGACCCGCCTCTCAGACCGGGGGCTCCGCCCACCTGGGGTGGCAGTCCTGCAGGAGCAGGCCCTGGGACATCGGGTCTGGGGGTTCAGGGAGGGAGGATCTGGGAGGCAGGGGGGTCTGGGAGGTAGACCCGGGGGGCCTGGGGGTGTGGTCTGGGAGGCAGGCTGGCTGCAGGGAGCAGGCTGCTAACCCAGGGCCTGCCCAGCCTCAGCCTGGAAGTGAACCCCAGAGGCCACATCACACATCAACCCAGGAGGGCCTGTCTCCCAGGTGGGTGCCCGAGGCCATCCTGAGAGTCTCCGCACCCCAGATTCAGCAAAGTGGGGACCTTGAGGATCACCTCATCTGAGCCCCCTGCAGGGGAAGCTGAGGCCCACAGGGGGCCTGAGTCGGCAGCAGCGGCTCCCCTTCCCTGCCCAGCACCCCAGCATCCCGCAGACAGCAGGGCTCCACGATGCTGTGCCGTGAATCCCGCCAGGATGACGAGGACGGGACAGACCCCCCGGAGGGCCGCCTGAGCTGGCAGACACCACAGCCTGCTCACGGCTCACACGGCTATAAGCAGCACTTGCTTTATTTTAAGACTCAGCTTCCAGTGAGAACCTCTCAGCCCCGCAGGGGCCGGGAACCCTGGGTGGGCATCTTCTCCCTGGGCAGCCGGGGAGGAGTGGTGGCCTTACTGACCAGGCACAGGCCGGCGAGAGGGATTCTCGGAGGGCTGCAGCACAATGCAGAGCGCGTGGGGCCCGGGCCCCGTTCAGGCCCACTCAGCACCCGGTGTCAGCTCTCTACAGGAACTCTGCGGCCGTCCTGACCCAGAGTGAGACCTTGGGATGCTGGAAAGACCTGGAGATGGCTGGACCTGCCCCCCCGGAGCTGCTGCGCGGGGCTGGGTCTCTCTTTGTCTGTGGAGCCCAGGGCTCCCCAGGTGATTTCCAGGGGAGCGTCCGTGCCACGAGCATGAGTCAGCTTTCCAAACTGGCTTCTTCGTGTAGGTCACGAGACCCTGGCAACAGAGCCGCTGTCCTGCCTGGCCTTCATGGAGGGGAAAGAGGCCGCCTGCCGCCCCCAGCACACATCCGGGGCTGGGCAGTCAAGGTTCGCTCCAGCAGGTGTGCCTGCTCAGCACAAAGCGGGGCTTTTCAAGTCTCTGGTCCCCCCAGGGGACCCAGGTAAAGCTCCTAGCCCTGTACCCAGCAGGGGTTCCTCACCCCTGGTGCTCAGGCTTGAGGAGCAGGAGGGAGCCAGCCACCAGCCTCCCAGTTCTCAGGGCCAGCTGCACTGACCGGAGCCGCTCCCCGCTGGGAGGACAGGGAGGGACCGCTCATAAAAGAAAATGCCACGAGAAGGACAGTCCCTTGGGACAGTCACTCAGTAGCTGTGAGCACAGCCAAGTTGCCTGATCTCCCTGGACCTCAGTTTCTTAATGTGCAGAATGGGGTGCAGCGCCTCAGGCTGATGTCAAGCGGACGGGGTCATGCCCTGCACACTCCCGCATGGTGCCTGCGGGCCGGAGGAGTCGCGCCGCTGCCGGGAGCCCCACGCCGAACCTCCCGGGCCACCCCGGCGGTCATGTGGCCCTAGAGCGTGCAGCGGGGCGGCGCAG